TCGATACGGCGCACTATCGATTCAATACGATACGATACGATATATTTCAAATCAATTCGATACGATTCAGTGAAAAACAAAGAGTAAATCATGAACGTGACACAAAAAGTCTAAAGACGAGAGGAGAGAGAGAACGAGAGGAGGAGAGGAAAGAGAGAACAGACCCGACTGAAGGAGAGAAGAAGAGAGAGAACGAGAAGAGGAGAGGAAAGAGAGAACAGACCCGACTGAAGGAGAGAAGAAGAGAGAGAACGAGAGAGAGAGAGAAAGAGAGAGAACAGACCCGACTGAAGAGAGAGAAGAAGAGAGAGAGAACGAGAAGAGGAGAGGAAAGAGAGAACAGACCCGACTGAAAGAGAGAAGAAGAGAGAGAACGAGAGAGAGGAGAGGAAAGAGAGAACAGACCCGACTGAAAGAGAGAAGAAGAGAGAGAACGAGAGGAGGAGAGGAAAGAGAGAACAGACCCGACTGAAAGAGAGAAGAAGAGAGAGAACGAGAGGAGGAGAGAGAAGAGAACAGACCCGACTGAAGAGAAAGAGAAGAGAGAGAAGAGAGAAGAGAGAACGAGAGGAAGAAGAAAGAGAGAACAGACCCGACTGAAAGAGAGAAGAGAGAGAGAGACGAGAGAGAGAGAGAGAGAGAGAAGAGAGAACAGACCCGACTGAAGGAGAGAAGAAGAGAGAGAGAACGAGAGGAGAGAGAGGAAGAGAGAACAGACCCGACTGAAGAGAGAGAGAAGAGAGAGAGAGAGAGACGAGAAGAGGAGAGAAAGAGAGAGAACAGACCCGACTGAAAGAGAGAAGAAGAGAGAGAACGAGAAGAGGAGGAGAGAGAACAGACCCGACTGAAGGAGAGAAGAAGAGAGAGAACGAGAAGAGGAGGAGAGAGAGAACAGAGAGAAAGAGAGAGAAGAAGAGAGAGAACGAGAGGAGGAGAAGAAAGAGAGAACAGACCCGACTGAAGGAGAGAAGAAGAGAGAGAACGAGAAGAGGAGAGGAAGAGAGAGAACAGACCCGACTGAAAGAGAGAAGAAGAGAGAGAACGAGAGAGAGGAGAGAGAGGAGAGAGAACAGACCCGACTGAAAGAGAGAAGAAGAGAGAGAACGAGAGGAGGAGAGGAAAGAGAGAACAGACCCGACTGAAGGAGAGAAGAAGAGAGAGAACGAGAGGAGGAGAGGAAAGAGAGAACAGACCCGACTGAAGGAGAGAAGAAGAGAGAGAACGAGAGGAGGAGAGGAAAGAGAGAACAGACCCGACTGAAAGAGAGAAGAAGAGAGAGAACGAGAAGAGGAGGAAAGAGAGAACAGACCCGACTGAAGGAGAGAAGAAGAGAGAGAACGAGAAGAGGAGAGGAGAGAGAGAACAGACCCGACTGAAAGAGAGAAGAAGAGAGAGAACGAGAGAGAGAGAGGAAGAGAGAGAACAGACCCGACTGAAAGAGAGAAGAAGAGAGAGAACGAGAAGAGGAGAGGAAAGAGAGAACAGACCCGACTGAAAGGAGAGAAGAAGAGAGAGAACGAGAAGAGGAGGAGAGAGAACAGACCCGACTGAAAGAGAGAAGAAGAGAGAGAACGAGAGAGAGAGAAAGAAAGAGAGAACAGACCCGACTGAAAGAGAGAAGAGAGAGAGAACGAGAGAGAGGAGAGAGAAAGAGAGAACAGACCCGACTGAAGGAGAGAAGAAGAGAGAGAGAACGAGAGGAGGAGAGGAAGAGAGAGAACAGACCCGACTGAAAGAGAGAAGAAGAGAGAGAACGAGAGAAGAGGAGAGAGGAGAGAGAGAACAGACCCGACTGAAGAAGAAGAGAGAGAAGAAGAGAGAGAACGAGAGAGAGGAGAAGGAAGGAGAGAGAACAGACCCGACTGAAAGAGAGAGAAGAAGAGAGAGAGAACGAGAGAGGAGAGGAAAGAGAGAACAGACCCGACTGAGAGGAGAGAGAAGAGAGAAGAACTGAGAGAGAAGAGGAGAGGAAGGAGAGAGAGAACAGACCCGACTGAAAGAGAGAGAGAAGAAGAGAGAGAACGAGGGAGGAGAGAGGAAAGAGAGAACAGACCCGACTGAAGAGAGAGAGAAGAGAGAGAAGAGAGAAGAGAAGAGAGGAGAGAAGAGACAGACCCAGACCCGACTGAAGAGAGAGAAGAAGAGAGAGAACGAGAGAGAGAGAGGAGAGAGAAGAGAACAGACCCGACTGAAGGAGAGAAGAAGAGAGAGAACGAGAAGAGGAGAGGAGAGAGAACAGACCCGACTGAAGGAGAGAGAGAGAAGAGAGAGAACGAGAAGAGGAGAGAAGGAGAGAAGAGAGAGAAGAAGAGAAGAAGAGAGAGAAGAGAGAGAGAGAGAGAACAGACCCGACTGAAGAGAGAAGAAGAGAGAGAACGAGAGAGAAGAGAGAGAGGAAAGAGAGAACAGACCCGACTGAAAGAGAGAAGAGAAGAGAGAGAACGAGAGAGAGGAGAAGGAAAGAGAGAGAACAGACCCGACTGAAGAGAGAAGAAGAGAAGAGAACGAGAAGAGGAGAGGAAAGAGAGAACAGACCCGACTGAAGAGAGAGAAGAGAGAGACGAGACGAGAGAGAGGAGAGAAAGAGAGAACAGACCCGACTGAGAGAGAAGAGAGAGAGAGAAGAGAGAGACCCGACAGAGAGAGAGGAGGAGAGGAAAGAGAGAACAGACCCGACTGGAAGAAGAGAGAGAGAGAAGAGAGAACAGACCCGACAGAGAGAAGAGAGAGAACGAGAAGAGGAGAGAGAGAACAGACCCGACTGAAAGAGAGAAGAAGAGAGAGAACGAGAGGAGAGAGGAAAGAGAGAACAGACCCGACTGAAAGAGAGAAGAAGAGAGAGAACGAGAAGAGGAGAGGAAAGAGAGAACAGACCCGACTGAAAGAGAGAAGAAGAGAGAGAACGAGAAGAGGAGAGGAAGAGAGAGAACAGACCCGACTGAAGGAGAGAAGAAGAGAGAGAACGAGAAGAGGAGAGGAGAGAGAGAACAGACCCGACTGAAGGAGAGAAGAGAGAGAGAAGAGAAGGAGGAGAAGAAAGAGAGAGACAGACCCGACTGAAAGAGAGAGAGAAGAGAGAGAACGAGAGAGAGGAGAGGAGAAGAGAGAACAGACCCGACTGAAGAGAGAGAAGAGAAGAGAGAGAGAACGAGAAAGAGAGAGAAAGAGAGAACAGACCGACTGAAAGAGAGAGAGAAGACAGACCCGACTGAAGAGAGAGAAGAAGAGAGAGAACGAGAAGAGGAGAGGAAGAGAGAACAGACCCGACTGAAAGAGAGAAGAAGAGAGAGAACGAGAAGAGAGAGGAGAGAGAGAACAGACCCGACTGAAAGAGAGAAGAAGAGAGAGAACGAGAGAGAGGAGAGAGAGAGAAAGAGAGAACAGACCCGACTGAAGGAGAGAAGAAGAGAGAGAACGAGAGGAGGAGAGAAAGAGAGAACAGACCCGACTGAAGGAGAGAAGAAGAGAGAGAACGAGAAGGAGGAGAGGAAAGAGAGAACAGACCCGACTGAAGGAGAGAAGAAGAGAGACAGAACGAGAAAGAAGGAGAGAGAAGAGAACAGACAGACCGACTGAGAAAGAGGAAGAGAGAAGACCCGACTGAAGAGAAGAAGAAGAGAAGAGAGAGAGAAGAGGAAGGAGAGGAAAGAGAGAACAGACCCGACTGAAGAGAGAGAAGAAGAGAGAGAACGAGAGAGAGGAGAGGAAAGAGAGAACAGACCCGACTGAGAGAAGAGAGAGAGAAAGAGAGAACAGACCCCGACAGAAGAGAGAGGAGAGAGAAAGAGAGAACAGACCCGACTGAGAGAGAGAGAGAGAGAGAGAGAGACCCGACTAAGAGAAGAGAAGAAGAGAGGAGGAGAGAGAACAGACCCGACTGAAAGGAGAGAAGAAGAGAGAGAACGAGAGGAGGAGAGGAAAGAGAGAACAGACCCGACTGAAGGAGAGAGAAGAAGAGAGAGAACGAGAGAAGAGGAGAGAGAAAGGAGAGAGAGAACAGACCCGACTGAAAGAGAAGAGAAGAGAGAGAACGAGAGAAGAGAGAGGAAAGAGAGAGAACAGACCCGACTGAAAGAGAGAAGAGAGAGAGAAGAACGAGAGAGGAGAGAGAAAGAGAGAACAGACCCGACTGAAAGAGAGAAGAAGAGAGAACGAAGAAGAGAGGAGAGAGGAAAGAGAGAACAGACCCGACTGAAAGAGAGAGAAGAAGAGAGAGAACGAGAGAGGAGGAGAGGAAAGAGAGAACAGACCCGACTGAAGAGAGAAGAAGAGAGAGAGAGAACGAGAGAGAGAGAAGAGAGAGAGAGAGAGGAGACAGACAGACCGACTGAAAGAGAGAAGAAGAGAGAGAACGAGAAGAGGAGGAGAGAGAGAACAGACCCGACTGAAAGAGAGAAGAAGAGAGAGAACGAGAGGAGGAGAGGAAAGAGAGAACAGACCAAACTGAAGGGGAAAGACGGAAGAGTGAGACACCAGACCAGACTGAAGAGAGAGAGAGAAAGAAGAGGAGTGTGAGATCAAACTCATCAGAGACAGAAAGAAAGATGTGAGAGAAAAGAGGACTAAAGAGAGAAGAGAGAGAGAGAGAGAGAGAGAGAGAGAGAGAGAGAGAGAGAGAGAGAGAGAGAGAGAGAGAGAGATGGACGGATAGAGAGACACAGTGAAAATGTCCACACACCTGCAGCTCAAAATTATTTAGTCAAATGTTCTGAAGAATCCTCTTGGCGATATATCGATACAGCAGACCGATATATATATAAATATATAAATACGATATATAAATATTTCAGTGTTTTTCTCACCTTCTTCTTGGTCCTGATCTCCAGCAGCTCCTGAGACTCCGGCAAACACGACGAGAACCTGTGAGGTTTCTTCTGGACTTTCTTCTCACCTAAAAAACAAACGTAAAAATAAATGTAAACCAGGACTAAACCAGGTCCATTTAAACCAGGATAAACCAGGACTAAACCAGGTAAACCAGGTCTAAACCACTAAACCAGGACTAAACCAGGACTAAACCAGGTCTAAACCAGGAGGTCTAAACCAGGACTAAACCAGGACTAAACCAGGACTAAACCAGGACTAAAACCAGGACTAAACCAGGACTAAACCAGGATTAAACCAGGACTAAACCAGGCAAACCAGGAACTAAACCAGGTCTAAACCAGGACTCTAAACCAGGACTAAACCACTAAACCAGGACTAAACCAGGACTAAACCAGGACTACTAAACCAGGACTAAACCAGGACTAAACCAGGACTAAACCAGGTCTAAACCAGGACTAAACCAGGACTAAACCAGGACTAAACCAGGACTAAACCAGGACTAAACCAGGACTAAACCAGGACTAAAACTAAACCAGGACTAAACCAGGACTAAACCAGGACTAAACCAGGACTAAACCAGGACTAAACCAGGACTAAACCAGGTCTAAACCAGGACTAAACCAGGTCTAAACCAGGACTAAACCAGGTAAACCAGGTTAAACCAGGACTAAACCAGGACTAAACCAGGACTAAACCAGGATTAAACCAGGACTAAACCAGGACTAAACCAGCTCTACACCAGGACTAAACCAGGATTAAACCAGGTCTAAACCAGGACTAAACTAGCTCTAAACCTGGACCAAACCTGGACCAAAGACCAGACAAAGTCCTGACCTGGATCTGGGTCTTGTTGGTCCGACCTCCCCAGCCTCATCTTGTCGGCCATGAGGGGGCCGCTGGTGGGAGGGTACCCCAGGGACGGGTCACTGTGAGCGGGGTTCACTGAGCCTCCGTTTGGGGTAATCCTCTGGAGCTCTGGAGGAACAGAACAACAGACTTTAAAACATCAGGGAACCAGACACTTTTATATAAACGGACAAAGCTGATCCGCTGGCCGCCGCGGTCCAAACAGGAAGTGAGCACGGGCACAACGCGGCTCCATCAGCTCTGGCTCCAGTTCACTTTGTATTGAAAGAGCGTGGCTCCTCTGGACCTGCTGCTGTCTCCTCGCTCCTTCATACTGAGGTTTTTATGTCACTGTTTTGTTCAGGCACCTCAATGATTTTTCAATAGAAAATGAACTGGAGCCAGAGTGGATGGAGTCGGGAGCAGGCCCATGTTCACGTCCTGTTTGTTACACGGGGGCTTTGTGCTGTGATATAAACGTCTCTGATCTCCAGTGAAAAAGTTCTAAATCCATCACAACCTGAGTCTTTTCAATAAAACCAAACACACAACAGATTTTTATTATTTACTCAGTTTTCTCGTTACCGTTGGTCTCGGGATTCTCTTGACCGGCGTCGCCTCCGTCCTGCACCTGTCCCTGCACCTGTCCCTGCTCCTGCACCTGTCTCTGCTCCTGTCTCTGCTCCTGTCTCTGCTCCTGCCCCTGCTCGGTCCTGCCGCCGGGCGTCTTGTTCTGGCAGTGAGCTTCAGTGCTGTCGATCACGGTGAGCAGAGCCTCCAGAGACAGAAGGTGAGTGGTGTAGAGCTGCCCAGACACGGGGAAGGCGTTCTGAGGAGAACACGACCTGAGTGAGCCGCACGAACAAGCACCAGAGGAGTCTGGTCTGACCAGACTACACACACTGAAACACACAGTCTGACCAGACTACACACACTGAAACACACAGTCTGACCAGACTACACACACTGAAACACACAGTCTGACCAGACTACACACTAGTAGTAGTAGTAGTAGTAGTAGTAGTAGTAGTAGCAGTAGCAGTAATAGTAGTAGCAGTAGTTACTGCAGTAATAGTAGTAGTAGTAGTAGTAGTAGTACCTTGGACAGTAGTTTGGTCAGGTCTTCAAACAGGTTACTGCAGTAATAGTCACAGTCGTAGTTGAGGTAGAGCTCGGTGACGAAGCTCGGGATCCTCCAGAGCTGCACCACGGCCTCCAGAGCCAATTCCTTCATCTCATACGGCATCCGCACGTTCTCACACGTGATGATGTCCATCAACTTCTTCAGGTACATCTGAAGGACACGAGGAAGAGCGGGGTAAAGCTCCACTATGGAACATCTCACACACACACACACACACACACACACACGAGGAAGAGCGGGGTAAAGCTCCACTATGGAACATCTCACACACACACACACACACACACGAGGAAGAGCGGGGTAAAGCTCCACTATGGAACATCTCACACACACACACACACACACGAGGAAGAGCGGGGTAAAGCTCCACTATGGAACATCTCACACACACACACACACACACACGAGGAAGAGCGGGGTAAATGTGACGGGGCAGGTGAAGGTCCACGTGAGGAGCTGTAGACGTAAACGTACCTCGAGCTGGAACTTGAGGTGGACCCTCATGGACTCAAAGAGCAAAAAACAACAGCGGATCGACGAGGCGTAAAGGTTCATCCTCTCCACACTCAGCAGCTGAAACACAAGACCTGGATCAGACCTGGACCAGACCTGGACCAGACCTGGACCAGACCTGGACCACACCTGGACCAGACCTGGACCAGACCTGGACCACACCTGGACCAGACCTGGACCACCTGGACCAGACCTGGACCAGACCTGGACCACACCTGGACCAGACCTGGACCAGACCTGGATCAGACCTGGACCAGACCTGGACCACACCTGGACCACACCTGGACCACACCTGGATCAGACCTGGACCAGACCTGGACCAGACCTGGATCAGACCTGGGACCTGGATCAGACCTGGACCAGACCTGGACCAGACCTGGACCAGACCTGGACCACACCTGGACCACACCTGGACCACACCTGGACCAGACCTGGTTTAGTTCATGGTTTAGTCCTGGTCTGGTCCTGGTCTGGTCCCAGTCTAGTACCTGGAACAGATGCCTGCAGAGCTCGTCTTTGACCAGCAGGAGGAGACTCTGGTAGTGGGCGACGTTGGCGGTTTCCAGGGCGACGGCGAGGAGCTGGAGGCCCATGTGCATCATGGCGTCCGTGTTGTGACGGTCATGAGGATTCGTCAGAGAAATCAGGAACCGGAAGAGCTCCCGGAGACAGGGCAGACCGTACGGGATCAGGGACGCACCTGCCACACGGGGAAAGAGTCAGATGCCCTGCCGTCCCTGAGTGTGGACCGGGTTTGGTTATGTTTGGTTCTTACTAGAGCTTGACCGATATCGATGATTTTATGTTCGATATGACGCAGATAAAACAGGAGCTGAAGGAGACGACAGTCGATATAAAAGCTGAAATATTTAGTGACGTAAAAACTGACTCTGAATCTTCAGCTGATAATAAAACTTCGGTTTGGCTCTAGTGGATTTAAATTGGGTTTATTTAGGAAACATTTATTTTTCTTCTGAGTCTTGATGTCATATTTACAGACACGAGGTCGGACTAATGACATTTGTGCATCACATTCTCACCTGTAAACAAAGTAAAACTACCACTATTAGACTTCAGAGGTAAATGTGTACAGGCCGCGGTAATGAACGATGTGTGTAAATGTGGATCATTCACACGTCGGTTCACAGCTCAGGTGCATCAGTGCAGCTCCAATAAAAGTCGTTTTACACAAGACCAATGTAAGAAAACAAACAGTTTATGTGTGGAAGCTCCAGCAGCGAAGAGCGAAACAACGACAAAGAACCAGAAGTGTCTCTAAAACCGACACATTTCTGAGCCTCACACAGGCTGAACTGACAAGTGTCACTTTAATCCAGATTCAACAGCGTCACAAACGTCTCCTGAAAAACACTGGTTCTGGTTCTTACCGTCGCGGTGCGTGGACTGGGTTTGGTTCTGGTTGTGGTTCTGGTTCTTACCGTCGCGGTGCGTGGACTGGGTTTGGTTCTGGTTGTGGTTCTGGTTCTTACCGTCGCGGTGCGTGGACTGGGTTTGGTTCTGGTTGTGGTTCTGGTTCTTACCGTCGCGGTGCGTGGACTGGGTTTGGTTCTGGTTGTGGTTCTGGTTCTTACCGTCGCGGTGCGTGGACTGGGTTTGGTTCTGGTTGTGGTTCTGGTTCTTACCGTCGCGGTGCATGGACTGGGTGAAGCGGACTCCTCGTGGGTTCACATAGTCCATGTCGTGTACGGACGACGTGTCGGACACAGACGTGTTGTCGTCTAAAACTTCAGGGATCGACTCCACAGACGCCGACTGGACCGAACTCACGGGGTCAACCTGAGGTCACACAGAGGTCACACAGGGGTCACACCTGAGGTCACACAGGGGTCAACCTGAGGTCACACAGAGGTCACACCTGAGGTCACACAGAGGTCACACCTGAGGTCACACAGGGGTCACACCTGAGGTCACACAGAGGTCAATCTGAGGTCACACCTGAGGTCACACAGGTCACACCTGAGGTCACACAGGGGTCACACCTGAGGTCACACACAGGTCACACTGAGGTCACACCTGGTCACACAGGGGTCACACCTGAGGTCACACAGAGGTCACACCTGAGGTCACACAGGGGTCACACCTGAGGTCACACAGAGGTCACACCTGAGGTCACACAGGGGTCACACAGAGGTCATGGAAACCCCTCTAACTTGTCCCCTGTCCCTGTCTCACCTGTCCCCGTCTCACCGTCCCCGTCTCACCTGTGCGTCCCCCGTCCCCCGTCTCACCTGTGCGTCCCCCGTCTCACCTGTGCGTCCCCCGTCTCACCTGTGCGTCCCCCGTCCCCGGGTCAGAGTGGGGGTGGCTGGGGCTCTGGCTGGTGCTGTTCTGGTCCAGTTCTGACAGATCTTCTCTGGACGGGGTCTTGGAGCAGGAGTCCACTCCGCTGTCCGAGGGGCTGGAGACGGAGCCGGCGCTTTCCGAGGACGTCAGGGCGGCAGGAGCGGAGCCCCCGTCCAGGAACGGCACCCCGGCTGTGGGCGGAGACAGCGGTGAGGGGAGGAGTCTGAACAGACGTTTATCACATCGTCTGAAGTGTCTCGCTGTCGGTTTGTGGAACTTCAGGTTCATGTTTTTCTGTTCTCCCCAAATTCATTTGTTTGAGAAAAAAATCAACACAAATTCAAGAAAGTAGATTTTCTTTGCAGGTGCGTCTCAAACGCGCCATGAAATAAAGACCATAAATTCCAGACAATAAGAAGCTACTTTAGTCTCACACTTTGAACTCTGCGCTGAATAAAACGATGCGGCGAAAATCTGGACGGATTTTTTGTTTCGTTCATATTTACATATTTACTGTGGTTTGGGAAACAGAGGAAAACGTCGCTGTCTGTGCGATTCCACCTGGATCTAGAGTTCACCGGAAGGGAGAGACACGCACCTATCCCCGCCCCCGAGAGAAACGCACCTATCCCCGCCCCGAGAGAGACACGCACCTATCCCCGCCCCCGAGAGAAACGCACCTATCCCCGCCCCGAGAGACACGCACCTATCCCCGCCCCCGAGAGAGACACGCACCTATCCCCGCCCCCGAGAGAACGCACCTATCCCCGCCCCGAGAGAGACACGCACCTCCCCGCCCCCGAGAGAGAAACGCACCTATCCCCGCCCCCGAGAGAAACGCACCTATCCCCGCCCCCGAGAGAAACGCACCTATCCCCGCCCCCGAGAGAGACACGCACCTATCCCGCCCCCGAGAGACACGCACCTATCCCCGCCCCGAGAGAGACACGCACCTATCCCCGCCCCCGAGAGAGACACGCACCTATCCCCGCCCCCGAGAGAAACGCACCTATCCCGCCCCCGAGAGAGACACGCACCTATCCCCGCCCCCGAGAGACACGCACCTATCCCCGCCCCGAGAGAAACGCACCTATCCCCCCCCGAGAGAGACACGCACCTATCCCCCCCCCGAGAGAGACACGCACCTATCCCCGCCCCCGAGAGAGACACGCACCTATCCCGCCCCCGAGAGACGCACCTATCCCGCCCCCCGAGAGACACGCACCTATCCCCGCCCCGAGAGAGACACGCACCTATCCCCGCCCCCGAGAGAGACACGCACCTATCCCCGCCCCCGAGAGAGACACGCACCTATCCCCGCCCCGAGAGACACGCACCTATCCCCGCCCCCGAGAGAGACACGCACCTATCCCCGCCCCCGAGAGACACGCACCTATCCCCGCCCCGAGAGAGAAACGCACCTATCCCCGCCCCCGAGAGAAACGCACCTATCCCCGCCCCCGAGAGAGAAACGCACCTATCCCCGCCCCCGAGAGAAACGCACCTATCCCCGCCCCGAGAGAAACGCACCTATCCCCGCCCCCGAGAGACACGCACCTATCCCGCCCCCGAGAGAGAAACGCACCTATCCCCGCCCCCGAGAGAAACGCACCTATCCCCGCCCCCGAGAGAGACACGCACCTATCCCCGCCCCGAGAGAGACACGCACCTATCCCGCCCCCCAGAGAGACACGCACCTATCCCCGCCCCGAGAGAAACACGCACCTATCCCCGCCCCCGAGAGAGAGAGCCCCCGAGAGAAACACGCACCTATCCCGCCCCCCAGAGAGACACGCACCTATCCCCGCCCCGAGAGAAACACGCACCTATCCCCGCCCCCCAGAGAGACACGCACCTATCCCCGCCCCGAGAGAGACACGCACCTATCCCCGCCCCCGAGAGAACACGCACCTATCCCCGCCCCCAGAGAGACACGCACCTATCCCGCCCCCGCACCTATCCCCGCCCCCGAGAGAGACACGCACCTATCCCCGCCCCCGAGAACACGCACCTATCCCCCGCCCCGAGAGACACGCACCTATCCCGCCCCCGAGAGACACGCACCTATCCCCGCCCCCGAGAGACCGCACCTCCCCGCCCCCGAGAGAGACACGCACCTATCCCCGCCCCCGAGAGAGACACGCACCTATCCCCGCCCCCGAGAGAACACGCACCTATCCCCGCCCCCGAGAGAGACACGCACCTATCCCCGCCCCCGAGAGAGACACGCACCTATCCCCGCCCCTGAGGGAGACACACCTACCTACGTTTTATTCTTTCTTCTCTTGATCGTTGTGGATAAATTGATACCGCAGACATTTTACCACAAACCTCCAGCAGGACACTCGAGCTGCTATGAAAAGCTCCAGCGGCCGTTACCTGAGAGGTTGTTGTTGCTTAAAGCTGATTGGTCCATGGTTCCGCTCGGGCTCCGCACCATGTGATGCGCCGGTCGAGGGGAACGCTTCTGTTTTTTCCATTTGGACGATTCGCTCATTCCTCCCGCTCTCATCTTCAGCTGAAAACAGAGATGTGAACATGACGCTTTTATTTATTATTCTCTCATTTCTACTTCATTTGACAAAATAAAAGCTGCTGTAAATCTACTCTACTTTATAGTTATGTCCAAAATTACAGGAAGGAAGAATTCTGTCCAAAACTTTGCCACAATTTACATAAGAAACACTTTTCTGAGGTTTTAAACACGATTTCAACTAAATAAAAGTGTTTTCTTTTCTTTCTCTGTGACATTAGAGGAGCTTTGGCCCAGTGGTTACCAGATAAAAATGGCAAAGTTTGGAAAAAAATGTGTAAAACATTTAGTAAAATCCTAAATATGATTAAATAAATATAATGTGTTTTAGTCAAAAGTGTATTTCTGTCTGTGAGTTTCAGAAGGATGAAAACTCAGGACTGTTTCCATCATGATTAACATTTCTATCATCTTTTGAATGGTTGAAAAGTCCTCAAAATGGCTCCACAAACTCCTGATTTTCACCTGATGTGTCAAAGTGTTTTAAAGTTCAACTCTGGGGCTGAATGTGGCTCTTACCTGGACACGTTTGTTTTTCCACATTATGTTGTAAGCCTCAAGAGAGAAGGAGGGTTTAGTGACACACTGACACACGAGAGCGCGCACGAGCAAGCGGGAGCGTGCACGAGCAAGCGGGAGCGCGCACGAGCAAGCGGGAGCGCGCACGAGCACACGAGAGCGCGCACGAGCAAGCGGGAGCGTGCACGAGCAAGCGGGAGCGCGCACGAGCAAGCGGGAGCGCGCACGAGCACACGAGAGCGCGCACGAGCAAGCGGGAGCACGCACGAGCACACGAGAGCGCGCACGAGCAAGCGGGAGCGCGCACGAGCACAGACAGGAGCACAGACAGGAGCACAGACAGGAGCACAGACAGGAGCACAGACAGGAGCACATGGAGCCTGCGTGAAGTTATTTCCCAACAAACCATCATAAAAACTGTCCATCGTTCGTGCTGCATAAAGTTCTGTTTGAGTGATTATTGTTCTTATTGTTCTTATTGTTCTTATTGTTCTTACGGTTCTTAAAGTATTATTTATGATTTATTTATGATCTATTTTCATCTGATGACGTTGCCTCATCCTCCTGAACATATCATCGGACTATAAGGCTCAATATCAATTATGTTAAATTCCCTCGTCTATTTTCATACAGAAGTTGCGTCGGATTAAAAGAGAAACAAAAGGACGACACTTGGTTCTGGTCCTGAGTCCGGGCGTCCTGGACCCGTGGGCAGGTCGTGGTGTAACTCGCCCGGCATCGTCTCTGTCCCACTGAACGAGTTTTATAAATGTAAATGTGGGTGGATCATTTAAGTTTGTTTTTTTTACGTCTCAAATCTACATTGAGTAATAATGTGTTTAATGCAGCTTTGTCACATTTGTTCACAGTTTACAGGAACAAAACTTAAAACCACACGACTCATTTGAATAAACTAAAAGCTCTGATAAAACCAGCTTCAGTTCAGCTTCTGTCCGACTCCACGAGGCTCCTGACGACAGCAGCCGCAACGCTCCGACAAACCATCCAGCGGTGTGGCTTTGTAGTTCACCAAAGTCGTACTAAAACATGTGGACAGATTTTTGAACCCCGTGTACCACAGAAAATCGGTCTGAGGTCAGTAAACACAACCAGAATGAACACATAAGGTGCACCGGATTATAAGGTTTTAACATTTTCGAGGGCAGCGAGACGACGTCATCAGCCCAAAACAAACGAAGCACAAACGACGAACTCCTTTTTGTGTTAGGGTTAGGGTTAACATTTTGAAGCTTCCTGGAGCTGCTGATCCATTTTGAACAATAAAAGAATCATTAATATCTCCAAAATTAAAGCAGCACAAACCAAACTTCTGGCAGCACAAACGACTGACATGATGATTGAGTTTTTGTGCAGGTTGTGTTTGATGGGAGGAAGAGGAGCAGAGTAAAACACTACAGAGTTCAATTAAAGCTTTGAGAATCTTTACATCTTTAAAAAACAAACACTCAGAGGACAAAGACACTTTTTGGAGCAGACAACAGGAGACAGAGGATCCACAAAGAGACAACAGGTTTGGGTTTAATTCAGAGTAAAAGTTGGTAAAAGCTGGTTTCATTAAGAAGCTTCTGATACGATACAGATGTCGACACAGTGACATTTAGAATCAAATCGATTAGATACGGTTCAATAAAAACACATGATATGTCGTGTGTGTGACACTAAAAGTTTTTGTTAAACTTCTTCTTGTGTAAAGTTCAAATGAAACAAACATTTAAATGATCAAAACTGAAAATGTTAAATGTGTCGCAGTAACGAGTTTCTTTCCTCTGAACAAACAACAAAACTGGAGCTGGAACTAAATCATTTTGTAAAATAAACCAAAAAATCCTCTTGGTGATAAATCGATACAAGAGCCCACGATATCGATACTGTATAAAGTGATACGATATATCGATATTTGTATATTTGTGCTCAGCCCTCGTTATAAATCTGCACACGAGTGTTAGACAGAACAGAAGAACAGAAGAACGTGCAGAACGTGCAGAACAGAAGAACGTGCAGAACAGCAGAACGTGCAGAACAGAAGAACGTGCAGAACGTGCAGAGGAAATCTTCATCTAAACAGTAAAACTAGAGCCACTGGGGAGTCACCTTTTTGATGTTGGCACCGACAAAACTTTTGGCTTCTTCTTTAAACTGTGGTAACCTGAAAGAGACGAGAGTTTAGGAAACAAGAATATTCTTCAACTTTATGTGATTCACTTCATCAAGTAAAACAGGACAGAAGTCAACGCTTTAAAAATACTGTTTATATGAAAAAAAAAACATTAATCCCACATGAAACGGCCTGAACGTTCTGTTTTCTGTTGATTTGAGGAACAGTGAAGATCTTTGGTCGTAGCAGCTGTTTCTCTCTGGACACAAAGATCATTTTGGGCTTAAACTGAACTTTATAAACGTGGAGAGTTTTTCATGGACATTTGTCCCTCTGATAAATGAAATAAAACACTTGAAACTTTTGATGACAATTTATCTGATACTTTTTTCTCTTTTGGGGAATGTGAAGGTTGATATTTGACAGTCAAAAACAGGACTAAACCAGGACTAAACCAGGACTACATCAGGACTAAACCAGGACTAAACCAGGACTACATCAGGACTAAACCAGGACTACATCAGGACTAAACCAGGACTGCATCAGGACTAAACCAGGACTGCATCAGGACTAAACCAGGACTGCATCAGGACTAAACCAGGACTGCATCAGGACTAAACCAGGACTACATCAGGACTAAACCAGGACTACAGCAGGACTAAAACTCGGTCTAAACCAGGTCTAAAGAAGGTCTAAACCTGAACTAAGTCAGGTCTAAGGCAGCAAGCCCCAGATTAACTGTTCTGCTCGTTTCCTCCGTGTGGATTTTAGGATTATTTGAGCGTTTTTGCAGTTGCAGCACTTTAATATTTACAGTTTCAGTGTCATTTCAGATGCAGTTTTTCCTAAAGAGGTTTTTTTTGGGTCCTGAGACCAAACGGGCCGAGTTGGGGGTGGATCTTATCAACTTGTGATGGCCAAAGGTTTAATAATAACAGTGACAAAAAAGTATTGAAAAAGTCGACTCGCGGCCTGAACGTGTCACTCAAACCTGTGAGTGAAGAGAAAGAGACAAACAAAACACAAGTCCAGCTCTGTTTTTAGGACGAACGACATTCAGACCCACAAGACGGATTTGTGAGACTTTAATCTGTGTGTCGTTCATTCACTCGTTTTTCAAAATAAAACCAAAGATAAGAAAACAAAAAAACAACAATGTTCTTCATTATTTGTCTCCAAAACTAAAATGAAAAAACATAAAGATTCAGGATCAGACTGGGACTAAGACCGGGACTAAGACCAGGACTGAGACCAGTTCAGTCCTGGTTCAGTCCTGGTTCAGTCTGTTATCCATTTTTTCAATTTTTCATTTAAACACAAAATCCAAAAGTGAAAAAACGAATCATTATCTGTTTTTACATTTTGGTTTTGGAGACAAATAATGAAGAAAATTGTTGTTTCTTCATTTTCTTATTTTTGGTTTTACGACACACGGATCGTCTTTAGATCATCGGGAGCGCGCACGTGAGGCTGTGGGAGCGCGCACGTGAGGCTGTGGGAGCGAGGCTGTGGGAGCGCGCACGTGAGGCGGTGGGAGCGCGCACGTGAGGCGGTGGGAGCGCGCACGTGAGGCGGTGGGAGCGCGCACGTGAGGCGGTGGGAGCGCGCACGTGAGGCGGTGGGAGCGCGCACGTGAGGCGGTGACGTCTCACTCGGTGTAAATCCCTAAAGTCCACAGCGGCTTCAGCGGCTTTAGTCTCTTTCGTCTCTTTCGTCTCTTTCGTCTCTTTCGTCTCTTTCGTCTCTTTCGTCTCTTTCGTCTCTTTCGTCTCTGTTTGGTTCCCACAGTTTGCGTCTTGAGCCGTTTGACTTTTCATTTGTTCTGGATTAAAAAAACACTGGAATGTTGTGAAAAAACGTGTGTAAAAAGAAGCGTCGTGTTGGGAGGAGCGGGAGTCAAAGGGGCAGAGGTCTGGGGCAGATTTAGGCCAAAAACCAAAGAAAAGTTCATCAGCTCTGGGGGATCAGCCTCTTTAAACATGTTCACATTAGAACTTCATTTATTCTTCATTTATTTATTTAGGACTTTGGGACGAGGAGCTGCGTCTCAAACAGGGGAACGCGGACGCCGGGGTTTGGGAGGTTTGGGGGTTTGGGGGGTTTGGGGGGTTTGGGAGGTTTTTGTTTGGGGGGTTTGGGGGTTTGGGGGTTTGGGGGTTTGGGGGGTTTGGGAGGTTTGGGGGTTTGGGGGGTTTGGGGGGTTTGGGAGGTTTGGGGGGTTTGGGGAGGTTTGGGGGGTTTGGGAGGTTTGGGAGGTTTGGGGGGTTTGGGGGGTTTGGGAGGTTTGGGGGGTTTGGGGGTTTGGGATGGGGGTTTGGGAGGTTTGGGGGTTTTGGGGGGTTTGGGGGGTTTGGGGGTTTGTTTGGGGGTTTGGGAGGTTTGGGGGGTTTGGGGGGTTTGGGGGTTTGGGAGGTTTGGGAGGTTTGGGGGGTTTGGGGGTTGGGAGGTTTGGGGGGTTTGGGAGGTTTGGGGGTTTGGGGGGTTTGGGAGGTTGGGAGGTTTGGGGGTTTGTTTGGGGGTTTGGGGGGTTTGGGAGGTTTGGGGGGTTTGGGGGGTTTGGGGGTTTGGGAGGTTTGGGAGGTTTGGGATTTGGGGGGGTTTGGGGGGTTTGGGGGGTTTGGGGGGTTTGGGGGGTTTGGGGGTTTGGGGGGTTTGGGGGGTTTGGGGGGTTTGGGGGGTTTGGGGGTTTGGGAGGTTTGGGGGTTTGGGGGTTTGGGAGGTTTGGGAGGTTTGGGAGGTTTGGGGGGTTTGGGGGTTTGGGGGGTTTGGGGGTTTGGGGGGTTTGGGGGGTTTGGGAGGTTTGGGAGGTTTTTTGGGGGGGGGGTTTGGGGGTTTGGGGGGTTTGGGAGGTTTGGGGAGGTTTGGGGGGTTTGGGGGTTTTGGGGGTTTGGGGGGTTTGGGAGGTTTGGAGGTTTGGGAGGTTTGGGGGGTTTGGGGGGTTTGGGGGTCTCTGTATTTTATGGATTTGTCCTGGTTTAGTCTGAGTTTAGACCTACAATAATCCTGCTTTAATCCAAGTTTAGTCTTTAGTCCTGATCCTAAAGAGGAAAACTATTGGTTTAGTCCTGGTTCAGTCCCAGCCTTTGTCCTGATATAACCCCACACTGAACCAAGACTAAACCAGGTTTACACCAAGACTACATCAGGACTAAACCAAGACTAAACCCAGATTAAACCCAGGCTAAACCCAGACTAAAACCTAGTCTAAAGCCTTTCTAAACCAGGTCTAAACCTGGTCTAAACCTGGTCTAAACCTGGTCTAGATCCGGTCTAAAGCCTTTCTAAACCAGGTCTAAACCCAGACTAAAACCTGGTCTAGACCTGGTCTAGACCTGGTCTAAAGCGGGCCTCCCTTGGGGCATTTGTATTCCGCTCTGGTCGTGTCTTTGGGCGGCAGATGAGATGAATAATTCTGTTTTTTCTGATTAAAAATGTGCTGATGTGCAGGTGCGTGTTTGTGGAGTCGGCGCCGCGTTCAGGCTCCTTCGGATTTAAATGTGTGAATAATGGTGTGTTTAATGTCACGGGGACGGCGGTTATTAGCGACGCCGCTCCTGCCTCCGACAAACCCATCAGCACACCGCGCCTCGCTCCTCATTTACATATTTGTTTGTCCTCTAAAGTCAGGCTTTTGTTTTAGGGATTTGAAAAACACCACAAAGTTTAGAGCGCGGCGACGGTCCGGTTAAATGTTTCTCTAAACTAAATATGTACGTGTGGAAACTCTAAAAACCCTCGTGCGCCGCTTTAAAACCCTCACACCTGTGCGCCGACGGGACACACACACATCCAAAAAAAACCTGATGATCTTTAAACAGTACAGATTTTTATACAACTATTTTATATCAACGTCTTCATTTAGTTCTGCCCTAATCACACACCAAATAAACTGTGTGTGTGTGTCTCTGTGTGTGTGTGTGTGTGTCTCTGTGTGTGTGTGTGTGTCTCTGTGTGTGTGTGTGTGTGTGTGTGTGTGTGTCTCTGTGTGTGTGTGTGTGTCTGTGTGTGTGTGTGTGTCTCTGTGTGTGTGTGTGTCTGTGTGTGTGTGTGTGTGTGTGTGTGTGTGTCTGTGTGTGTGTGTGTGTGTGTCTCTGTGTGTGTGTGTGTCTGTGTTGTGTATAAAAATATAATAATATAATAATATAATTATAATATATAATAATATAGTTTCTAGTGAAGGTGTGTGGAGTTTGTGTGGAGTTTGGTGCATGTTTGGAGGAACTCTAGAGGACTGTTGTGTGTGGACGGGACTGAACTTAAATGAAGGCCAGGACCGGGACCGGGACCGGGACCAGGACCAGGACCGGGACCGGGACCAGGTCCTGTAGGAGATGTTGTGGTGTTTACCTGGAGAAGAGCAGCTGCACCATGTCCACCAGCGTGTGCTCTGCAGACTTCCTCAGCAGCTCTGAAACAGGAAAAAGTTTGAACATCAACACTGTGACATCACAGAGTGTACACAGCACGCTGAGCACACTAACCCCGCCCCCAACCCCACCTAACCCCGCCCCTAACCCAAATAACCCCGCCCCAACCCCCACCTAACCCCGCCCCTAACCCCGCCCCCAACCCCACCCCAACCCCACCTAACCCCGCCCCCTCCCCCGGCAGCTCACTGACCGCTGAGCCTCATCTCGAAGCAGATCCTGAAACACGACTGCATGATCTCACACACAGACTCGTTTGTGAGGTGAGCGCCGACCGGAGTGAGCAGCAGAGTCCTCAACACCTGCACAGAGAGCCACAGGTGAGTGTGAGAGCCACAGGTGAGTGTGAGAGCCACAGGTGAGTGTGAGAGCCACAGGTGAGTGTGAGAGCCACAGGTGAGTGTGAGAGCCTCAGGTGAGTGTGAGAGCCACAGGTGAGTGTGAGAGCCACAGGTGAGTGTGAGAGTCACAGGTGAGTGTGAGAGCCTCAGGTGAGTGTGAGAGCCACAGGTGAGTGTGAGAGCCACAGGTGAGTGTGAGAGCCACAGGTGAGTGTGAGAGCCACAGGTGAGAGCCTCAGGTGAGTGTGAGAGCCACAGGTGAGTGTGAGAGCCACAGGTGAGTGTGAGAGCCACAGGTGAGTGTGAGAGTCACAGGTGAGTGTGAGAGCCACAGGTGAGAGCCACAGGTGAGTGTGAGAGCCACAGGTGAGTGTGAGAGCCACAGGTGAGTGTGAGAGCCACAGGTGAGTGTGAGAGCCACAGGTGAGTGTGAGAGCCACAGGTGAGTGTGAGAGCAGGTGAGTGTGAGAGTCACAGGTGAGTGTGAGAGCCACAGGTGAGTGTGAGAGCCACAGGTGAGTGTGAGAGCCACAGGTGAGTGTGAGAGCCACAGGTGAGTGTGAGAGCCACAGGTGAGAGCACAGGTGAGTGTGAGAGCCACAGTGTGAGAGTCAGGTGAGTGTGAGAGCACAGGTGAGTGTGAGAGTCACAGGTGAGTGAGTGTGAGAGCCACAGGTGAGTGTGAGAGCCACAGGTGAGTGTGAGAGTCACAGGTGAGTGTGAGAGCCACAGGTGAGGTGAGGTGAGAGCCCAGTGTGAGGCCACAGGTGAGTGTGAGAGCCACAGGTGAGTGTGAGAGCCACAGGTGAGTGTGAGAGTCACAGGTGAGTGTGAGAGTCACAGGTGAGTGTGAGGTGAGTGTGAGAGCCACAGTGTGAGAGTCAGGTGAGTGTGAGAGCCACAGGTGAGTGTGAGAGCCACAGGTGAGTGTGAGAGCCACAGGTGAGAGCCTAGAGCCACAGGTGAGTGTGAGAGCCACAGGTGAGTGTGAGAGCCACAGGTGAGTGTGAGAGCCACAGGTGAGTGTGAGAGCCACAGGTGAGAGCACAGGTGAGTGTACACAGGTGAGTGTGAGAGCCACAGGTGAGGTGAGAGAGGTGAGTGTGAGAGCCACAGGTGAGTGTGAGAGCCACAGGTGAGTGTGAGAGCACCACAGGTGAGTGTGAGAGCACAGGTGAGTGTGAGAGCCACAGGTGAGTGTGAGAGCCACAGGTGAGTGTGAGAGCCTCAGGTGAGTGTGAGAGCCACAGGTGAGAGCCTCAGGTGAGTGTGAGAGCCACAGGTGAGTGTGAGAGCCACAGGTGAGAGCCTCAGGTGAGTGTGAGAGCCACAGGTGAGTGTGAGAGCCACAGGTGAGTGTGAGAGTCACAGGTGAGTGTGAGAGTCACAGGTGAGTGTGAGAGCCACAGGTGAGTGTGAGAGCCACAGGTGAGTGTGAGAGTCACAGGTGAGTGTGAGAGCCACAGGTGAGAGCCTCAGGTGAGTGTGAGAGCCACAGGTGAGTGTGAGAGCCACAGGTGAGTGTGAGAGCCACAGGTGAGAGCCTCAGGTGAGTTACCTGTAGTATCTTCATGAGGACGACCTCGTCACTCGCAGGATCCGTCCCGACAAATCGAGCGTGTGTGACGGCGTCGGCCATGTTCTCGATCGCCTCAGCTGCAGCTTCATGACTCGAATCTAAACACAAAACCTGGTTCAGTCCTGGTTTAGACCTGGTTTAGTCCTGGTTTAGTCCTGGTTTAGACCTGGTTTAGACCTGGTTTAGACCTGGTTTAGACCTGGTTTAGACCTGGTTTAGACCTGTTTAGACCTGGTTTAGACCTGGTTTAGTCCTGGTTTCCTGGTTTAGACCTGTTTAGTCTGGTTTAGTCCTGGTTTAGTCCTGGTTTAGACCTGGTTTAGTCCTGGTTTAGTCCTGGTTTAGTCCTGGTTTAGTCCTGGTTTAGACCTGGTTTAGACCTGGTTTAGTCCTGGTTTAGTCCTGGTTTAGACCTGGTTTAGACCTGGTTTAGTCCTGGTTTAGTTTAGTCCTGGTTTAGTCCTGGTTTAGACCTGGTTTAGACCTGGTTTAGTCCTGGTTTAGTCCTGGTTTAGTCCTGGTTTAGTCCTGGTTTACCTGGACCTGGTTTAGTCCTGGTTTTAGTCCTGGTTTAGACCTGGTTGTAGACCTGGTTTAGTCCCTGGTTTAGTCCTGGTTTAGTCCTGGTTTAGTCCTGGTTTAGTCCTGGTTTAGACCTGGTTAGTCCTGGTTTAGTCCTGGTTTAGACCTGGTTTAGAGTCCTGGTTTAGTCCTGGTTTAGACCTGGTTTAGACCTGGTTTAGTCCTGGTTTAGTCCTGGTTTAGACCTGGTTTAGACCTGGTTTAGTCCTGTTTAGTCCTGGTTTAGACCTGTTTAGTCCTGGTTTAGTCCTGGTTTAGACCCTGGTTTAGTCCTGGTTTAGTCCTGATTTATTCTGGGTTTAGTCCTGGTTTAGTTGTGGTTTAGTCCTGGTTTAGTCCTGGTTTAGACCTGGTTTAGTCCTGGTTTAGTCCTGGTTTAGTCCTGATTTAGACCTGGTTTAGTCGTGGTTTAGCCCTGGTTTTGTCTGGGTTTAGTCCTGGTTTAGTCCTGGTTTTCTTTAGACTGGTTTAGTCCTGGTTTAGTCCTGGTTTACCTGGTTTTAGTCCTGGTTTAGTCCTGGTTTAGACCAGCCTGGTTTAGTCCTGGTTTAGTCCCTGGTTTAGCTTTTAGTCCTGGTTTAGTCCTGGTTTAGTCCTGGTTTTAGTCCTGGTTTAGTCCTGGTTTAGTCCTGGTTTAGACCTGGTTTAGACCTGGTTTAGTCCTGGTTTAGTCCTGGTTTAGACCTGGTTTAGACCTGGTTTAGTCCTGGTTAGTCCTGGTTTAGACCTGGTTTAGACCTGGTTTAGTCCTGGTTTAGTCCTGGTTTAGTCCTGGTTTAGTCCTGGTTTAGTCCTGGTTTAGTTTAGACCTGGTTTAGTCCCTGGTTTAGACCTGGTTTACCTGGAGTCCTGGTAGACCTAGTCCTGTTTTAGACCTGGTTTAGTCCTGGTTTAGACCTGGTTTAGTCCTGGTTTAGACCTGGTTTAGTCCTGGTTTAGTCCTGGTTTAGTCCTGGTTTAGTCCTGGTTTACCTGGGTAGTCCTGGTTTAGTCCTGGTTTAGTCCTGGTTTAGTCCTGGTTTAGACCTGGTTTAGACCTGGTTTTAGACCTGGTTTAGTCCTGGTTTCCTGGTTTTAGTCCTGGTTTAGACCTGGTTTGTGTTTAGTCCTGGTTTAGTCCTGGTTTAGTCCTGGTTTAGTCCTGGTTTAGACCTGGTTTAGACTTGGTTTAGACCTGGTTTAGTCCTGGTTTAGTCCTGGTTTAGACCTGGTTTTAGTCCTGGTTTAGTCCTGGTTTAGTCCTGGTTTAGACCTGGTTTAGACCTGGTTTAGTCCTGGTTTAGTCCTGGTTTAGTCCTGGTTTAGTCCTGGTTTAGTCCTGGTTTAGTCCTGGTTTAGTCCTGGTTTAGACCTGGTTTAGACCTGGTTTAGTCCTGGTTTAGTCCTGGTTTAGTCCTGGTTTAGACCTGGTTTAGTCCTGGTTTAGTCCTGGTTTAGTCCTGGTTTAGTCCTGGTTTTAGTTCTGGTTTAGTCCTGGTTTAGACCTGGTTTAGTCCTGGTTTAGTCCTGGTTTAGACCTGGTTTAGACCTGGTTTAGTCCTGGTTTAGTCCTGGTTTAGACCTGGTTTAGACCTGGTTTTAGTCCTGGTTTTAGTCCTGGTTTAGTCCTGGTTTAGACCTGGTTTAGTCCTGGTTTTAGTCCTGGTTTAGACCTGGTTTAGTCCTGGTTTAGTCCTGGTTTAGACCTGGTTTACCTGGTTTAGTCCTGGTTTAAGACCTGGTTTAGTCCTGGTTTACTCCTGGTTTAGTCCTGGTTTAGTCCTGGTTTTAGTCCTGGTTTAGTCCTGGTTAGACCTGGTTTAGTCCTGGTTTAGTCCTGGTTTAGTTTAGTCCTGGTTTAGTCCTGGTTTAGAGTCCTGGTTTAGTCCTGGTTTAGACCTGGTTTAGTCCTGGTTTAGTCCTGGTTTAGTCCTGGTTTAGACCTGGTTTAGTCCTGGTTTAGTCCTGGTTTAGTTTCCTGGTTTAGTCCTGGTTTAGTCCTGGTTTAGTTTCCTGGTTTAGACCTGGTTTAGAGTCCTGGTTTAGTTAGTCCTGGTTTAGTCCTGGTTTAGTCCTGGTTTAGACCTGGTTTAGTCCTGGTTTAGTCCTGGTTTAGTCCTGGTTTAGTCCTGGTTTAGACCTGGTTTAGACCTGGTTTAGTCCTGGTTTAGTCCTGGTTTAGAGTCCTGGTTTAGACCTGGTTTAGTCCTGGTTTAGTCCTGGTTTAGTCCTGGTTTAGTCCTGGTTTAGACCTGGTTTAGACCTGGTTTTAGTCCTGGTTTAGTCCTGGTTTAGTTTCCCTGGTTTAGTCCTGGTTTAGACCTGGTTTAGTCCTGGTTTAGTCCTGGTTTAGACCTGGTTTAGACCTGGTTTAGACCTGGTTTAGTCCTGGTTTAGACCTGGTTTAGACCTGGTCTTTAGGAGCAGATGTGTCTTTTGTTGATGCGTTCAGGGTCCAGTTTTGTGTTTGTGAAACCGGAGCGTTCGGTGTTTTCTTTTCCCACTGTCATTAAACTAATCACCTGCAGGACCGGGTCTGAACCAGGTCTGAACCAGGTCTGGATCTGGACTAAGATCTGGACTAAGGATCTCACAAAGGGACAAAAGAGATGAGTGCATTACCCTGATTAACTCCAGCAGCATCAGGAAATGGACTGAAGAAGGACTCGGAACTAAACCAGGACTAAACCAGGACTAAACCAGGATTAAACCAGGATTAAACCAGGACTAAACCAGGACTAAACCAGAACTAAACCAGGACTAGAACAGGTCTAAACCTGGTCTAAACCAGGACTAAACCAGGACTAGAACAGGACTGAATCAGATCCAGAGCGTTTGTTGTTTTCATTCTGTTTTTCGTCAGTAGAGGGCGACAACAGCTGCTGTTTTACAAACCTGTTTAATGTTCAACAAGCTCCATAAACCAGAACTAAACCAGGACTAAACCAGGACTAAACCAGGACTAAACCAGGACTAAACCAGACTAAACCAGGTCTAAAACCAGGACTAAACCAGGACTAAACCAGGACTAAACCAGGACTAAACCAGGACTAAACCAGGTCTAAACCAGGACTAAACCAGGACTAAAACCAGGACTAAACCAGGTCTAAACCAGGACTAAACCAGGACTAAACCAGGACTAAACCACTAAACCAGGACTAAACCAGGACTAAACCAGGACTAAACCAGGTCTAAACCAGGACTAAACCAGGACTAAACCAGGACTAAACCAGGACTAAACCAGGACTAAACCAGGACTAAACCAGGACTAAACCAGGTCTAAACCAGGTCTAAACCAGGACTAGAACAGGACTAAACCAGGACTAGAACAGGTCTAAACCTGAACTAAACCAGGACTAAACCAGGTCTAAACCAGGACTAGAACAGGACTAAACCAGGTCTAAACCAGGACTAGAACAGGTCTAAACCAGGACTAAACCAGGTCTAAACCAGGACTAAACCAGGACTAAACCAGGTCTAAACCTGGTCTAAACCAGGACTAAACCAGGAGTAAAACCAGGACTAAACCAGGCGTAAACCTGGTCTAAATTTGAACAGGACATGACCAAGTCTAAACTAAACTGGAACTAAATTTAAGCAGGACTTAATCTAGCCCCGGTCTAAATCCTGGTCTAAATCCTGGTCTGAACCAGGTCTAAACCAGGTCTGAACCGGATCTGAACCGGGTCTGAACCGGGTCTTCTCACCTATGAGTCCGTACGAGAGGAACTTGTTGACGGAGGTGAGGGCGAGGCCTGTGATTGGTCCAGTCGTGTCTTCGGAACGAACCACTTCCAAAAAAGGTCGAAGGAAAACGTTTGGCTCGACCTCGGACAAATCTGAAAAAAACAAACACGAAACGTTTTACAAAACTACAAACTCTCAAACCGGGACTCAACCCGGGACTCAAACCGAGACTCAAACCGGGACTCAAACCGGGACTCAACCCGGGACTCAAACCGAGACTCAAACCGAGACTCAACCCGGGACTCAACCCGGGACTCAAACCGGGACTCAAACCGGGACTCAACCCGGGACTCAACCCGGGACTCAACCCGAGACTCAACCCGGGACTCAACCCGGGACTCAACCCGAGACTCAACCCGAGACTCAAACCGAGACTCAACCCGGGACTCAAACCGGGACTCAAACCGGGACTCAACCCAGGACTCAAACCGGGACTCAACCAGGACTCAACCCGGGACTCAAACCAGGACTCAAACCGGGACTCAACCCAGGACTCAACCCGGGACTCAACCCGGGACTCAACCCGAGACTCAAACCGGGACTCAACCCGGGACTCAAACCAGGACTCAAACCGGGACTCAACCCAGGACTCAACCCGGGACTCAACCCGGGACTCAAACCGGGACTCAAACCGGGACTCAACCCGGGACTCAAACCAGGACTCAAACCCGGGACTCAACCACCGGGACTCAACCCGGGACTCAACCCGGGACTCAACCAACCGAGACTCAAACCGAGACTCAACCCGGGACTCAAACCAGGACTCAAACCCGGGACTCAACCCCTCAAGGACTCAACCCGGGACTCAAACCGGACTCAAACCGGGACTCAACCCAGGACTCAACCCGGGACTCAAACCAGGACTCAAACCGGGACTCAACCCAGGACTCAACCCGGGACTCAACCCGAGACTCAAACCGGGACTCAACCAGGACTCAACCCGGGACTCAAACCAGGACTCAAACCGGGACTCAACCCAGGACTCAACCCGGGACTCAAACTCCCGGAGACTCAAACCGGGACTCAACCAGGACTCAACCCGGGACTCAAACCAGGACTCAAACCGGGACTCAAACCAGGACTCAACCCGGGACTCAACCCGGGACTCAAACCGAGACTCAAACCCGGGACTCAAACCGGACTCAAACCCGGGACTCAACCCGGGACTCAACCCGGGACTCAACCCGGGACTCAACCCGAGACTCACTCAACCGGGACTCAACCCGGGACTCAAACCAGGACTCAAACCCGGGACTCAAACCCGGGACTCAACCCAGGACTCAACCCGGGACTCAAAACTCAAACCGGACTCAAAACCGGGACTCAAACCGGGACTCAAACCGGGACTCAACCCAGGACTCAACCCGGGACTCAACCCGAGACTCAAACCGGGACTCAAACCGGGACTCAAACCGGGACTCAACCCGGGACTCAACCCGGGACTCAACCCGGGACTCAACCCGGACTCAACCCGGGACTCAAACCGGGACTCACTCAACCCGGACTCAAACCGGGACTCAAACCGGGACTCAACCGGACTCAACCCGGGACTCAACCCGGGACTCAACCGGACTCAACCGGGACTCAAACCGGACTCAAACCGGGACTCAAACCCGGGACTTCAACCCGGGACTCAAACCGGGACTCAAACCGGGACTCAACCCGGGACTCAACCCGGGACTCAACAACCGGGACTCAAACCGGGACTCAACCCAGGACTCAACCCGGGACTCAAACCCGGACTCAAACCGGGACTCAACCCAGGACTCAACCGGACTCAACCCGGGACTCAAACCCGAGACTCAAACCCGGGACTCAAACCGGGACTCAAAACCGGGACTCAACCCGGGACTCAAACCGGGACTCAAACCAGGACTCAAACCAGGACTCAAACCGGGACTCAAACCGGGACTCAAACCGGGACTCAAACCAAGAGTCAAACCAAGACTCCAGATGGATTAAGAAAGACGACAATTTAAGACCTGACGTTTAAACCAGGACTACAAAAAGTCTAAACCGGGACTAAACAGGATTTCAAAGAAAATCCTGAACCAAAAGTAACAGACAAGAACCAAACCAGGACTAAGACCAAACGAGATCTACTAACTAAACCAGATCCAAACCTCAGTAAATAAGGACTAAACCAGGTCTAAACCAGGTCTAAACCAGGACTAAACCAGGTCCAAAAGGAAAATATCAGGTCCAAAAATAGGATTTAAAAACAGGACCTGACTAGAACTAAACCAGTTCTAAAAAAGGACTAAGCCATGAGGAAACAATGTCAAAAAGACCAACTAAACCAGGACTAAACCAGGACTAAACCAGGACTAAACCAGGACTAAACCAGGACTGAACCAGGACTGAACCAGGACTAAACCAGGACTAAACCAGGACTAAACCAGGACTGAACCAGGCTGTGGTCCCTCCTCCTGCTGCACGTCACACTAGAGCAGAGGTTTTTTTTAATATTTGGACCAAAACAACAACTCGACGCCCAAACCTCCGAGTCTGAACGAATCACTCCAAATACCACAGCACCTCACTGTCGCTCACACGGGTTAGGGTCTGGGATTTGTGAGTCCTCAGTCCTGGTTCTAGTCTTGGTCTTGGCCCTGGTCTTGGCCCCGGTCTTGGCCCCGGTCTTGGCCCCGGTCTTGGCCCCGGTCTTGGCCCCGGTCTTGGCCCCGGTCTTGGCCCTGGTCTTGGCCCTGGCCCCGGTCCTGCTTCACGGTGCGTTCGGGAGCAGAGGATCGTGGGAAACAGGAGGTGTAAAGTGAACAGCTGCAGGGACTCGGGGTAATTACTGTGACGTCAGAAGATTCTTTCACAGAGAAACAGAACCAGAACACGGACCAGCGGATCACGCTTTATCAGAGACGCCGAGGAACTGAACCCAACACCACCGAACCCCAACACCACCGAACCCCAACACCACCGAACCCCAACACCACCGAACCCCAACACCACCGAACCCCAACACCACCGAACCCCAACACCACCGAACCCCAACACCACCGAACCACCAACCAACCACCACCGAACCCCAACACCACCGACCACCACCAACACCACCGAACCCCCAACACCACCGAACCACAACACCACCGAACCACAACACCACCGAACCACAACACCACCGAACCACAACACCACCGAACCACCACACCAACCGAACCACAACACCACCGAACCACAACACCAGCCCAAACCTAAAGACTCCAGTCTGGTCGTTTCACACCTGCAGACCAAACTAATCTGCTCCGACTGTCGTTTGTCCAAGACGCTCCCAACTCCACCCAAGATACTTTTATAACATGAAAATGTCAGAGAGCAACTCATTTTAACTTTCACAACAAACAGAAACAAGAAACAAGAAACAGAAACAAGAAACAAGAAACAGAAACAGAAACAAGAAACAAGAAACAAGAAACAAGTCTGAGATGGAGAACAGTTAAACACGTCCACAACACAAACATGACCCAGTTAAACACACATCACTGATCTCAGACTTCAGGTCATCGCACAATCCACATGGAGAATGATCTTGTGAAAAAGTGATGATCAAACCTCCATGTTTGTTTTTCCAGTGGGACGTGTCTATTGTCAAAGTCGATCTTTCCAAGTCTTTTGAACCATTTCACTTTTGTTTCTGCTTCTGATATTGTCATATTTTAGTTTCGGGATTGGGACATCGTCATTGTTGTGGTTGTTGGATCCAAACAGCGGAAAACGACTCGAGAAACAGACTTCAGAAGTTTGTGAACTCCATAAATGCAAAAGTGAATCAGATGTGTGTGACTCAAACCTCCGTTCAAACTGTTTCTCTTGCCAACGGAATTGAAAACTAGTGAAAGGTGAAGGTGATGGGCAGGATTGATCCACAGGAAGAACCAAAAAGGAAACATTTGTCTGGCTAAGAAATCCTCCCGAGTTTACAGAGAACATTTTGTATGTGGAGCGACAGTGTCTTGATGTGTGTGTTGATCATTGGGGCTGGTTTCATTAAGAAGTCGTTGATGCGACACAAACATTGATACAGTGCACTTTTGACTCAATACGATATATTTCAAATCGATTTGACATGATTCAATAAAAAAACTAAAGTCTAAATCATGTGTGACTCTAAAAGTCTTTGTTAAACTTCTTCTTGTGTAAAGTTAATCTGAAACACAAATATATAAATCATCGAAACAGTGAAAATGTCAAATGTGTCGCAGAAACGAGTTTCCTTCGTCTGAACAAACAACAAAACTGCAGCTGGAACCAAATCATTTAGTCAAATAAATTAAAAAATCCTCTTGGTGATTTGTGAAAATCACTCAGTCGTCCTGGTCCTGGTCCTGGTCCTGGTCCTGGTCCTGGTTTGTCGACTGGACAAAGTTTATTTGGTGGAATCTGTTTCTGAGCTCGTCCGAACTGCTTCTGCTTCATGAACTGAAGGAGCAGTTTGGATGAACTCAGAAACGTTGTTTTTGTGAGATTTTTAGTCCAAGTGCGATTGAAACTTTCGCACCAATGAAAACAAAACGAACTAAGAGTTTCTGGATCGAACGTTTGCTGCACCAACTGCTGACCAAAAAAAACACCAAAAACCAAAATAAGAACATAAGAAACTCCGTTATTTGTGTTTGTTCCAATGAGGCGTTTCCACGGCTCCAGAACCATGAATAATTCAGACTGTTGCCATAGCGATTAACAATTTAAAACCAAATATTGTCTCTTTAAAATGGAAAACAAACCCGAAAATGTTGCATAACGAAAACCGATGCACAACGATGTCAAGACCAGAAACCAAAGACCAGAGACTGGACCAGACCAGAAACCAGACCAGAGACCAGACCAAAGAAAAGAGACCAGACCACAGACCAGAGACCAAGACCAGAGACCAGAGACCAAAGACCAGAGACCAGAGACCAGAGACCAGAGACCAGAGACCAAAGACCAGAGACCAGACCAGAGACCAGAGACCAAAGACCAGAGACCAGACCAGAGACCAGACCAGAAACCAGACCAAAGACCAGAGACCAGACCAGAAACCAGACCAGAGACCAGACCAAAGAAAAGAGACCAGACCAGAGACCAGAGACCAAAG